TAAATGCACAGCTATTAATTGTGTAGCTATTTAAATATAAAACATCAACACTTAAATAATTCTTTTCTGTAGGCAGTTGCTTGTGGCTTATTAGAACACCATACTGAAAGTAGAATGCTTCTGGATTTTTTTCAGCTTGAAACATCTCAAATCATTTGTTAGATGTTGTTTACTGTCTACAAGATCTAAACTGGCCAAAGTTTATTTTTCAAGCATACTCTTTATTTCGACTTCATTCATCTTACTTCAAGGTCTTTTAATGTTTGACAGATTCTTGAAAATACCAAATTAGTCCAAGTATATAAATGGACATACTCACCAAGCAGAGAATCCAGTCTATAACCAAACTAAAGTCAACCACAGTACTACATCTTTTGTCCAATTCTGGCTATATTAAGTGCCTACCCCAGGTAAATTAAACATTTTTCACCTGGCACATCTCACTTGTGCCAGCATCTTAGTATGAAGCAGGAAACATTCCACCTTAACAATTAGATGGTTCTCTTGGCATTTGCATATATTCACGTGTCTTTCTTATTATGTTGTTACTTGTTCATTTCAGAGGAACTAAGAGAGAGATAGAAAGAAAGTAAAGGCCAGCAGAGAATAGAACCTCCCACTTTCATCTCCTAACATGCTCAGCCATCCCTGACTCTTGTCTCCATTCGTATCTCCTACCCAGCAGTCAGTTGATGTAGTTTCCTGTGATGTCTCTATCACACCCTTCTTTTCATTGAACACTTCCAGCCACCTAGGAGACTTCCCTATCCCCTTCCAGTTGACCGAATGTTCAGTGGCTATTGAGTAGATTCAGTTCTCACAGTATTTTTGTTGGGGAGGGGTTTCCTTCAGATATTTTTCTAAAGACATCTGTTGTATTTCTGCAAATTTGGGGTTCCCTGAAGCTTTTCCAGGTAAAGCTTTATAAGTATCAGTGCCCTGATAATGAGTTCAGCATCAGTTGGAGTAATACTATTTTGTGAATGTGCACTTTGCTGCTTCGAAATATGAAGAGTCTTTATTGAGATTTGGAGAGGAAGTGATGCATTCCATCTTTATCTCCTATGTAAACATTTCAAGAGGCTAAGGTGCCATAGTTTTCATAAGAACATAAGCCATGCTGGATCAGACCAAAGGTCCATTTTGTCCACCATTCTGTAGACGGGGTGGCAAACCAGCTGCCCACAGGATCCCTCAAGCAGGATGGGTGCAAGACCTCCTCCTGCCCAAGCTCCTCAGCCAGTGGTGTATACAGGCATGTGACCTCTGGTAAAAGAGGTAGCACATAGCCAGCAGGGCTAGTAGCCACTGATAGCCCCTTCTCTCTCATTGCAGCCCCCTCCCCCCCCCACACACACACCCACACCTTCACAGGAAGAACATTAGGACAGACATATCATCAAATTGCCGGTCATAAAGGTTCCATTGAACCTGCTTGCAAAGGGTAAGATTGCAGACACACTAAATTTGGCTATTCAAGCATTCCATTGCTGCTATGAATGGTTTACAAAAAGGTGGTGGCTATAATGGGGAGCAGAGATGATGCATTCCTTTCTTGAGGTCTTTATCTGTGGATGAGTGTACAATATAAAGGACAACACATTCTGTGGTCAGTACCTCCATCTTCAAAGCTATATGACTAGTTCCCACTTCCTGTGAGATTTTCTTTTACTAGTCTACACCTTGCTAGACAAATGTTTTGTGGAAAGTGTTAACCCATAGTTCTGACCCATAGACATTACAGATGTTCCATTAGCACATTCTTCTTTAATAATTGGGGTAGCCCAACATTATGGTTTCTGAGATAAACCAAATGACACAAAATGATAAACCATATGCATAGGCTTATGCTTAGCCCACTGTAGTCCTGTTGGACTTGGCGGTGGGGTGGGGGACGTTTATATGCACTTAGTCACATTCTAAGTGCTATGTTTGTGGACCAAAGGGTATAAAAAAAGAAATCAAACATTCTTCCAGTCCTTGTCACTAGCTGGTAGCCCAGCCCAGATCATCATATCTAAGGTCAGGTTCTGTGTACATAAAGCACTGTTTTCTCTGACTGGTTTCTCTTATGTTCACACAGTAAACTGACCTCTGCTGTTATGTGTTTGGATAAGGTCCATCATTGATCTTCACTGGTCAGGTGTGAGGGTACAAGTTCCAAAGCCCAGAATGTGTGAAAACAGATGCTCGTTTCACATGACAGGGTATGAAAATGATGTCATAGGCCAAAGCATGTAGCATTTTTCTGCATGGAGAATGCCAAAGTATATGCAACTCGTACAATATTTTCTGCCCAAAACAGGCAGAAAGATTTCTGTGAATTTCTAGAATTGCCCATGCAGTTCTAATTTTTATTTGCATGTACTCAGTAGACTTGGATGCAAGGTCTAAGCATCTGTATTTAAATATCAAAAGAATCTTCTCTAGGAAGCCTGTGTATTATCACGAGGATTTCCCTTTTCTGCTACCCACATCTAAGCATAACCATTTTATCGGTATGAAGCTTAAATGCCTGCTGCCCCCATCTGGCCACCCTGCACATTGACATAAGCAAAAGCGCCCACAAGACCTTCCAACATAGTTAGCTGTATTATTTATGAAAGAACAAAAGATGTTGGATCATGGAAATGAGTTGGTTCCATTTACCAGGCACAAATCAGCTTAATAAAACCAGTCTAACATTCTTTTCTCAGCAATAGCCATCTAAATGTATCAGAGGTATCAGATTTTAAAGACAATGTTCCATCATTTGATACTCCAAAGAGTACTGCTTTTGGACATGATGTTGCAGTTAATAACCATCTTCCATGAATTTGTCTATTCTGATTGTCTGTTTTATTATTTATTTAATCAATCAATTTCTATACCATCTAATAGCTGTATCTTTCTGGGAAGTTTACAACAGCATCAAAGCTGTAAACTAGGGGCAACCATCAGATCTTGTGGTATTGAAAGTTGAAATTTAGGGTTAGGACGAGGTTTTATGCTTTGCTTGAAGAAGTACTTCTTTATGTCTGTACGGACCCAGCTACAAATCACCTCCATTAGCTAATTCAAAATTCTAATCTGATAAAAGCTGTGTGAATAGAATTTTTTCTTCACACCATTCATAATTTTACATAATTATGCAGCTTTTTCCTGTAAACTAGAACAGTGACCATAGCAATTTGTATAAGAAAGAGGCTACTCAGGCATTGATCGTTTTCATTGCCCTTTTCCGTGCTTCTTTCTGGTTCTAAAGTATCCCTCGTGAGATACCAAGCTGTACACAGTATTCGAAATGCAGGCGCCCTGTATGTTTTTGTTACCATGTTATGATACTTGCTATTTTATTTTCATTCCCAAATATTCTGTTCATTTTTGTCATCACCATAACATACACAGTTGGCATGTTTGGTAAGCTGTTTGTCCACACTCCCACAGTTGAGGTACTAACCTGCTTAGATGCATGAACTGGACAGAAATGATGATGAATATTCCTTGGATTGATGTGCCATCTTCCAAGGGCAGATTCACACAACGTGCCAAGCTACCCTGAGAATAAGCTACACAGTGTGAATTGTTTGTGTCACTCATCCAATAGTTAATTGGGGTTACCATGGCTTGTTCTCTTCCTCAGTCCTCCAGTCAGTATCCCAGTGTCCTTTGCTGCTGAAACAGTTTTTACTCCCACTTCCTGCTCTGATTGCTACCCCTTTTCATTTGCCACTTTTTTTCAGAGTCACAAAAATAAGCAATTGAGGTTGTTTCACTGTTTACTAGAAAATTATGCAATGGTATTCATAACTGTTTTAAAGGCTCTTTTAGTCTTTCATGAGTGTGTACTTCAGGCCATCCCACATAAGGTGGCCATACCTGGTCAACTTCCTCGTATGTTTCAAAAAGAGCACTAAACTGGATGGCATAACATGCATGAACATTGACGAGGTGAGGTTGCATATAGAGTAATTTGTTCAGAGTTGCCAAGGACCAATTTGCCAAGTTGTCAGTTGAAAAGCACCGAAAATGTAGTGGAGAGTGGCAAAAGTATCTACATCAAAGTGGATTAACTATAACTTCCCCTTAACAATGTTATCCTCTAGATTATAAGTGTTGAACTGACACTTCTCGGTGCCTTCCAACTCTTGTTCATGCATTTAGACTCTTGTTTTGGGTGTTCTTAATGCAGCTCTAAATCAAATACCCTTTAGGCACGTTTTGTCTCTGTGTGTCATGCAAGATACTTGGCCAACTGTTTTCAAAATAACAGAGAGGAATAGAAGCACAATTTCTCTATCAAAATAAAAGAATTATCAATAAAAGAATGGTTTGCCCCCTGAAGATATTTTTGGCACTCTTGAAGGCTGAGTAAGGCTGTTTACTAGGGTTTTTTTAAAATCTTGTAATTTATGTTTTTATTGTAAAGCATCATGAGTCTATTTTACCATAGAAGGGCAGGCTATAAATGTCTAAATAAACAAAACAGATTCTGAATATTTGCACCAGAATGCCACTAAAGTGCTCATATAACAATAATGGTCTGTTTGTTAATATGTTATTTTCTAAGGTTTATTTGCTGCCTGTTGAATTGGATTCTTGTATGGCTCCTAAGAGATATAACCTTATTACAGACTACAAAACAGTTTCAGGTTTAGGATTTAGAGCAAGATCTTCCTCTATAAACATTATGCATGCTCTGATCTCACAAGCAGAGTTTGTATTTTGAGGAACTGAGTCAATTTGCTGTGTAAAAAAATCTGATTTGGTTTTTTTAGAGGTTGCATTGATGTTTTTAATTATATTAAATAATGTACAGTGGTGAAGATGAATTTCTTAAATTTAACAGGCACCCCATATGTCCTAGAATGCAGCGAATATTGATGAAGTTATCAGTCTTCTGTTTGAATAAAATGCACATTGGCCTAAGGAGCCTATGGAGCCTATTAGCAAAGCAAACTGCATTTTAAGCAAATTAAATTAAATTAAGCAAACTGCATCTTCCTTTCTTTTTTCCCCAGGTGAAGCTTCCATTTCCTGTAGATCAAATCACAGATCTTCCAAGGAATGATTTCCAGATGATGATTAAGATGCACAAATTAACCTCAGAGCAATTAGAATTTATCCATGATGTTCGGCGGCGCAGTAAAAATCGGATTGCAGCTCAGCGCTGCCGTAAGAGAAAACTGGACTGTATTCAGAATTTAGAATGTGAAATCCGCAAGTTGGTGAGTGTAGTACAACACAAACTCCACTGAATTACTGTCTTTAATTGTTTTTTTGTCCTGCCTTACCTCCATGATAGAACTGAAGTTTCCATACATAGGGTGACTAAATAGTCTCGATTCAGCTGAAAGTACTTTAAACCCAGGCCTACTTAGTTCTGGCAGGGTTGCTGTCTCAAGTGCCATCAACTTATATAGGGTAAGTTCTCCCCTATATAAATGTTAGCCCTGAGTTTGTTTCTTGGTCATGTTGGCTTCCCTCATCCCTGAAGAATACACACATGTTGAAACAAGAATCCTGTAGAATTTGAGGATCCCCATCAAAGTCTGTGCTGCCCCAGAGATACCACGCTTACCTTCCCAAATGGCACTCTTTCTCTGTAAAAGTAATTAAATTCAAGGCCTCACCACTCAGCTAGTGTGAAATCAGGTTTTCCTCCTACATCCACTGTGTCCAGAGTTGTAGTCTCTTTGCCCATAGCAGTCATGGAGCCATTGTTACAAGAGAAAATCATTGCAGCATGTCACACTGATGAGCACTTTTCTCGGTGCAGAGATCAAACAAGACGGTCTGTTGCTATACCCACTTGCTTGTTCAAACTTTCCTTAAACTTTCTGAGGAAATTTTTTAAGCACAAATCCATGCAAGCAGGATCAACCATCAGTGATTCCACATGGGTATTTGTGTCTTTTACTCTTCACAATCTGTTGTTTAAACCTTGTTTAAATATTAACCAGGTGGCTTAATTGCAACTGAAAATCTGCTTTTATGTGGTGGGGCTTCATAACATGTGAAACAGGCTTATGCTTGGGCAGGCTGGAATGTGTGGCAAGTGTCCACATCATTGCCACCAGCCACCAAGTACTTATGGTGCCGCTTTGGCTGCTTCCCATGCAATCTTGCTGACAGACATGGGACCCGCTCAAGAGCTAGTGGTACAGAGCAGCTACCAAGGAACTATGCCACTCTCGTAAAGTTATGTTTATTCCTTCAAGCATCTTTCTTCACTGTTAGCTTGTATTTTTCCTTCCCTGAGTTGCTATAGCAATGCAAGCTAAAACACTTTTGCATTTGTAGAAAGTGTCTGCAGCCAATTTTGTCATGAACGTATTTTGCTTTGTATTCGTTATGAATGTGAGTCTGCTAGAAGGAGGATTCTGAAGTTGTTGAGCTTAAAGATACCATGTCCACTTGATTAGTTATCTTGAATAGCTCTGAAAGCTGGTTCAGATATCTCTCAATTGGATAATTAGACTGTGACTCCCATATCTGATCCCAGTTCTGAAAGAAATTGTGTCAAGTTCTCACATGTTGTAAAATCTTGGCACTCATAAATCTCACCCCAGCAGGCTGATTTATGAATCCCACAATAAAAGAAGCAGGACAGCACATTTCCAAGTAATTGTGTTTCTAGGTACATCTGGCAAGAGTTCTGTTGCGCACACTATATATATCAAGGTGGCAGAATTTTGGACTTAAGAGTCCACTTCAGTCTATAAGTAGTGAAGTCATCTGTCCAAATGCTCCTCTTAAATAAGCAGTATGTAATTTGTATGTATGCACAAGATCCAATGCAGGTCTAAGGGTTCCTTTAACCAGAAGTGTTGTGCAAACACCACAGATTTATGTGCTATGCTCTTAACCAAGTAGGAAATAGCTACTTCTGGAATGTAGAAATAAAGTCAACTATAAATTCAAAAAGCATAGAATTTATTCTTAGAGAACAGTGATGGCGAACCTTTTAGAGACCAAGTGCGCAAACTGTAACCCAAAACCCACTTATTTATCTCAAAGTGCCAACACAGCAATAAAACCTGAAAACTGAGGTTTTAGTTTAGGAAAACAACTCACAGCCAGTCCAAGTATATATCTCCTTGGCAGCGCATTGACCGACCATGCGAAAGTTCGGACAATTTGCATGTAATGAGTCGCGGCTCGTGAGGTCATCGCCTGGCACCGCTACTCCTTTCCGAGCATGCGCATGGCTCCTGTGTGCGCTGTTATCCGATGCTTGGCTGCTGGGGCGATACTGGGGTGACTTGGCTCACATGCCAACAGAGAGGGCTTTGCATGCCTGCTGTGGCACGCATGCCATAGGTTCACTACCACTGGCCTAACCTACTCTGGTGCATGCCCCCCGACCCTAATATAGGGATAAAATACCATTGAAAGGGGCAATTTTGAAAAAGTCTTCCTTGAGTAGCTTTTTCTGCACAGCTTATCATTTCTGCCCATTCTAAACACATTCCATCCATCAAAATCATGCCAGGACCTCTTGTTTTTCTAACCCTAACCCTGCCCTGGTGCACTCCCCTAGCCCTAACATAGGGTGAACGTTCCATTGAAAAGAGGGCGATTTTGAAAAAGTCTTCCTTGAGTAGCTTTTCTACACAGCTCATCATTTCTGCCCATTCTAACCACATTCCAACCATCAAAATCATGCCAGGATACCTCATTTTTCTAACCCTAACCCAGTGATGGTGAACCTTTTAGAGACCGGGTGCCCAAACTGCAACCCAAACCCACTTATTTATTGCAAAGTGCCCACACAGCAATAAAACCTGAAAACTGAGGTTTTAGTTTAGAAAAAACAACTCACAGCCAGTCCAAGCAAATATATATATATACTTGGCAGTGTACTTACCAGCCATCCAAAAGCTCGGACAAGTCGCAGCTTGTGATGTCATCGCCTGGCACCGCTACTCCTTTCCGAGCATGCGCATGGCTCCTATGTGCGCTGTTACCTGTTGCTTGGTTGCTGGGGCGATGCTGGGGTGACTTGGCTCGCATGCCAACAGAGAGGGCTTTGCATGCCCGCTGTGACACGCATGCCATAGGTTCACCACCACTGTTGTAGAGTATTGTTCTCATACGCACACTTGTTAGACAAAAGAAAAGTTGCTTGGTCCCTTTCCAAGTCCTTTGCATGTGGGTCTGTATATGAGCCTAATAGCTCTTGCAAGATTGGTGTCACTGGTGTTTGCCAAATAAGGGGGTAGGTGCTGTGGGAACACTGGAGCAGGTGACTGGAAGGCTATACAGCCAAGAACGTTCACGTGCTGGCGACAGTGATGGATCATCGGAGCAGAAACTGAGCATATAAGGAGGAAAGGAAACGACACTGAGCTGGAGTGACTGTAGGTAGTTGACTTCAAAGAATGGGATCCCAAAGGACGTCTCTCCTAGTTGCTTGCAAAAAGTTAGAAAACTGCTATGGGCACAGACTACCCTTGGATTTCTCAGCTGCAGTTCCAAATTCAATTTAATTCAAGGGAATTATAGCCTAAAGCACCCTAGGCACTCTTGGGTACTAAATGATCAAGTAGCACCCCAAGCAATGTCTTTGATAGATTCAGTTGTTGGACTCTAGATAATTCAGTCTTTACGGTGATGATGGGACTAGCCTATTACTACTCCAAAGCCACCTGAACTTGGCTAAAGATAGCTTTAGAAGGGAGTGTTTTGCCAGTGCAACTTCTCTTAGAGTTTCATTCTAAGTGTATGTATACAGCTTGAAACTTTTTGCTAGCTACTTCCCAATACTTCAGGTTTGCTGCTTGACCACTTCTCTTGAACTCATTGCTGACATCTCACATGGAAGCTCTACATGGCTTTGTGAGTCAAGCTGCACTGCTGCACATATGGACCCGTTGAGGTCTCAGTGGACATTTTACCCATTTTCTCAGGGTGTACAGATCTCTCAGGGAATGCACAGCAATAAATGCGTAGCAATAATGCACATCAGTAATGCGCAGTATGCGCAGCAGGCTGGTCTCCTGCACGGAGAAGCACTTCGGGAGTGGGCCTTTCTTTCTGCCAGGTATTTTGACTGAATGTGATGTGGTGTTTTCAGAACCTTAACACTGTTCCTGGCAGCTCCTCCTCCAAGGGGGAAGACATTTATCATGGGGAAGGGGGTAGATGTAGCAAGCAGCAAAGGCCTACCATGAGCTAGGGCTGGGATGAACCCTGCCAGAATCCATCCCTTTAAGCATTCAAGGCTTCCTCTTGTGTTCAGCCCAGTCTTCCAAAGTGATCCAAGCCAAGCAGAAGGCTGCAAATGCTTGCAGAGCTCTGCTTGCACAGCTGGCAACTTTCTTCCATGTCAGCAGCAGTAGCGGCAGCCCAAAAGGCCTCTGTAGCCGGCGTGGAAGAGAGATGCTCTTTGCACAGTGCTTGAGGGACTGCTTTCCTGGCAAGTGGCCTGCGACTAAGCACCCTGCGACCAGTCTTCTTTGGCTGGAGGAGTGCCCGGGAGGAGCACTACAGGGGCTGCATTTGAGCAGCTGCTGTAGTGTGCAAGCAGGTGCTACTGCTGATCGGGGGAGGGGGGGATGCTTTCCTCGTGAGAACCCCACAGTCAAGTGCCCCTGAACCAGTCTTCTTTGGAGCAAGGAACAACTGCTCAGGCACATGGACAGGCTCTCCTTGCACAGCGCATAGGGCTCCATTCCTAGTGAGCACCCATGAATGCTGGGTGTACTTGCCAGAAACATGCTCTGTGGGCCTCCACAAAGCAAACCAGAGTACAGGAACCAAGCCCAGGGAGTTTGACAGATGCCCAACCCTGGACAGATTGCTTACACATCCCTTCCATGAGCCTCTTCTCCCTGCCCAGACGAAGACAACTATACTGGCAAAATAGAGAAACCGTTTGGCTCTTTGTTCAGCTCCTCTTTGCCAAGAGGAATATTTCCCCCTTCATGAGGGAGACTGGTAGAAGCCAGGGGAGGGAATCAGAGGGTGCAGAGAGGCCATGCCATCTTTGACTCCCTACTCTATCTAGACTTCTGCCACTTCCTTCTGCATAATGTTTAGTTTAGCTTTGCCCATACTTGTTGCCAAGCTCAATATGCTGACCTGAATGCACCCAGAGAGGTCCGCCTGGTGCCGTGGTTATTTGTTTTTCAATGCCAGGCGAAGACCTTTTTATTTAAATGCCATTTTAATTGTTAATATTTATTTATGTTATTTTTATGGCCAGGATGTCTCCAATTATATTATATTGTTTTATATTGTTATTATTTATTTGCTGTTGTAAGCCGCCCCGAGGCTTCGGCGAATGGGGCAGCATAGAAGCTTTCTAAATAAATAAATAAATAAATAATCCCTGAATTAACACCTCTTTTCCTACCATCTCATTTCTTTTCCTACACTCCCAGGTTTGTGAGAAAGAGAAACTTCTATCAGAAAGGAACCAGCTGAAAGCATGCATGGGAGAGCTGTTGGATAATTTCTCCTGTCTTTCCGAAGAAGTGTGTAGAGATATGCAGAGCTCCGAACAGATCCAAGACCTGCACCGATACTGCCCCATCCTCAGGCCTATGGATCTTCCAACAGCAGCCAGTATCACCCCTTCACCAGCCGGAGTGGAGCAGAGTGTTGTGACGTCGCAGTGTGTCGGAGAAGGATTGCAGTGCTGTTCAGAGCAGAGCTCTGCACAGCAGCTCGGAGCTCACTGGCTCCCGAACAACATTTCGGACAAATGTGCACCAGCGAGAGTACTGGATGGAGCTGACCAAGGTCCTTACTCTGAGCAAGAGCTCCCTCTGGAGCAGACTAACCAGACGGTGACGGTGGACTTCTGTCAAGAAATGACTGATAAGTGTACGACGGATGAGCAGCCCAGGAAGGAGTACACCTAGTGTGGTGCACTTTTGCCTCACGCCCGGCACGGCATTCTGCAGTCAGCAGTGGCCACTTTTGTTCCTTGTTTCGGTTGGAGAGCGTCTCTGGTGCACACTACAGTGGTCTTAGCAGCAATACTGTTTTTAAGTATTCCCTCCTCTCTACAAGCAGGAGTTTATCTTCTTCACTATGGTGCTATCCCTTGCTCAGGCAGGGGAACAAAACAGTGGCAACACTGTCTGTTTCTTTTTTATTATTGTTATTGTTGTTACTGTATTTTAATTTCAATAGTCAACAGGGATGGACATAACACCTCTGAGGACCCAAACGCAGCTTTTTCTCAGTGGCCCGTGTCACAAAACCCTAACTCAGGAATTTCCTCTGAATGTTCAATTTTTCATTGAAGACAGCTTCTTTACACATCAAAGTTTTATAGCTAAACTGTACATACTATATATAGTATATATAAAAATATATATCCATATGCAAAAAAAATCCCTGCATGCCTCAATTTTTTCTCATGAAAGCAACTGGAAATGTTTAATTTCTATTGTATAAACAGAATTCCAACATTCCTTTTTTTGTCAATGCTAGAAGTAGTTTGTAACTGTTTTAATATTTTCCCCTCACCACTTGGTTCACAATTCAGCAATATCATTTAGTTTGTATTTTATTTATAAAGTTTTAATGTTGGAAACTTATTTGAAATTTTAATATGGACAGCGTTTGTGGCACAGCTGTCTATCCTTGTGTTGGTGCCCGTTTGAGCAAAGTGGGTTTTTCTTTATTTTTCTCAGATACTGTACACGATGGTCAACTTTGCCACTTGCACTGAGTTTTGGATCAAACCTCTTTTCATAAATGAAGTTACAACTTCCATAGAATTCATATACTGTATTCTTAGGCTTCCTCATTTTCTTTATCCTCTGTTAAGCAAAATAGAGGTGGAAAAACAACACTCAGGAGATGATTATATAGGGAATAATCTTGCCAAATATGGAATTCACCCAATATTGTCAGTTGGGTATTTTCTGTATGCCTCTTCCTTTCCCTTTTTTAATTTTCCCAAATCAAATGTAAATATAAAGTGGCTGCTTTTTTCTTTTTTCTCTAGGAATATTTTCTACTTGTCAAGTATGTTTCGATATTTAATAAAATACCTAAAAAATGTTCAGTGGCCAGTGTATGTCACTGACGTTGAGGAAAAATAGCTGAAGGCAAAGGCTGTTTACGTCAGTGTACCCGATTCTGCTGACTCTTAGTGAAGTTTGAATTCAGCTTCCCACAGCAGTTCTTACTCTTTCAGGTTGTAGTAGTGTTGCTCATCCTCACAATAGACCCGTTGACCTCCATGTATAATTCGATCAGACACCATCTTACCCAGGTGGTAGTTACGGTGCTTTACTACACTGGCTTCCTGTTTTCACTGGCCTCAGCACATGAGAAATAGTCTGGATGAGAGAGGATTCAAGGACTAGGCCTGTAGTAGAAAGATGAATAGAGGCTGCTTAGAGCAACTTCGAACGCTACAGCGTAACAAGCATATACTTCTGTGGAGATTTGATTGCTCACATGACAAAAATACCATGCTGCAAGTTTCCCTCAGGTTATAGTATTCTCATCAGCACAGATTAGCATCTTTCTCAGAGGAAAATTTGTCAGAGGAGTCACTTCAGAAGTACTGAAGCTCCAGTCAATTCACAGAATTCCAGAGGACCCGAGTCCCACAGTGATTGCAAAGCAGCCTTCTTCCAAGTATGACCTCTGCCCTTCAAAAACACATGGAAGCAAATCTTCTGGAGTGGTGGGCACAATTCACCAGGAATGTTCCTGCACTGTCCTCACTGGGATGAATGGGATTTGTTCAAGAGATGTTCTTTTGTGCAACTTCCATGGATTTCGGGAAGACATATGTAGGATATACCTTCCCCATTGCTGATGGATTGTGTCCTTTTGTCTGTATATGTGGTGTGTTTTTAAGTGACTTTCTACTTTGACTATGCCAGGGTGCTTCAAGCTATATTTTATGATGTCATCTATGGTTTACAGATTGGTACTTTTCACCTGTATTATGGATCAGTTTGTGTCAGGGCACCACATGGAGCTGATTCAGGCAATGTTTTCTGTTAACTATGACAATGCTTTCCTCCATGCTAATGTTTACACTAAACGGTGTGGCACTTGGTGAATCAGCATCGTTTTTCTATTGGAGGAATTGGCATGCCCCCCTTCTCCTTTTTTTTTTTTTTAATCTGTTTTGTTATGGGCTTCTGCAGACAGCTTGCCAGTCCTGATATTTCTCTTGGCTCCAAATTCACTGCAGCTCACCTGCCAACCATACATTGCATGTGGCATATTTATAGAATGGAAACGGAGGTATGTCCTTATGTAGGTTGGATATATATATGTGTGTATGTATAATTTAAGTATTAACCATTTTTGTAAAATAAATATAGAAACTTATTTCTAACTGTTCACATATTTATATGCGTCATAGTGCTAGTTCAAGCTGTAGGGCGAAGTTTCAGCACCAAGGTAGGAAGTCCTCAATTGGCTTTGAAAGTGTAGCAGTTCCATTGGATGGGAAGAATGCAACCAACCATTTTGTGTGCCGAACCCAAACTCTGTAAAAGGATATGTAGATATAAAGAGGGGGGTGTTGTAATCAGCTGACGTTGCAAAGCCCTTCCATGCTTCGCAAAGAAATCATAAGTTCTGTGAGACAGCAATGTAAGCTCAAGTTTAAAGCTACATGTGAACTGTGTTGTAGCTTCATAGCTAAGTTTTGAAAATTGAGATTTTATTGATGTTATTTGTTTGTTGATGTTCAGTTGACAGTATTTTCTGTTGCCTTTTTTATCTTTAAGTGACCTCCCACAGCTAGTTGTGGTGTTTCGTTGGGGTTTTTTTTTTAAATTACTATTCAGCCAACCTGAAACTGGCTTTTGACATGAAGATTTAATGTCACACCAACTCATGTGCAACTGGTACTTTTGACCTCATTCCTGTGGTTTCAATGTAATTGACAGAATGTGTTGTTCTACAGCTATTGTATTGACCTGGCTCTTTCACTGGTGCTGGGCCTCGCTACCCTTTCTTTCTGTTTTCTCTTGGGTTCATTTTTAGAGAAACTATTTTAAGGAAATCCACTGCTCAGATAAGTTGATCGTTTCAAGCTTTTTAGGACATTATGAGTTTGGCTCTTCACCATTTAGAAGTGACTGATTTGTATATTTGCTTCCCTTGGACTATATATTGTGCACGGTTCTTCAGAACCACATGTGGGTCTTGGGTTAACTTCAAGGGAGACATTTAGGAGAATTAGCTTCAGAGCTGGACATAAATTGTACATTTCAATTGCATTGGGGTAATAACTAACTGACCAAAATTCTATTTTTAAATAAAAGCCTGCATTATTCAGCAATGCAAAAGAAAAAGAAAGAAGATACTTCTACCTTTCATGGATATAAATTCATAAAGGAAATGTTTTGTCTCAGTTTGACATTTTTATGCTAGATATAAGCTGCTTTTGCACGATACAAGAAGCTTGTAAAGTGCATACATTTAGACCTGTCCAGTCTGCATCTAGTTCTCCTTTTTATTTGCCTTTGCTATACTTCGTATTGCCAGAAAACCTCATTTCATTTAGGCTTACTCTGCTTTTGTCAGGTTGAGTGTTACATTATATAATATATTTGCGTTATCTTTGGGGGTGCCTTGAATACAACTGAAGTTCATTGCAACCTGATTCTGGAACAAAGAACTAGTGCAAAAGGAAAGATTCAATCCAGTTACCAAGGCATCTCAATTCTTACATCCTAGGTCCAACAAATGATGACTCAGGCGTCAGAGTTTGATGCTGCAGTATAAAACCATTATTTTATATATTGTACAGGTAAATTATTCAATGTCTTTCTAAGGATATATGCTGCTTTTAAAGATGCACTATAATTTTTTTTGGATCTAATCCATGTATTTTTGTTCCCCAGGAAGTAAACACACACACACAGCACCAAGAACTAATTCATTTCATACACAGACCACTGTGATTAGTATTCAACCGCTATCTCTTTAAAAGAGAGAGCAGAAGCTAGATCAACTTAAACATCTTCAGCTTCTTATCACATAATGGTTACATTGAACTCAGTGCCACATTTATAATTTTGAAAGCTTCCACAGACATCTAGAAGTATATATAGGCCGTTTTAAAGAAAAGGAAATGATAACTTGTGTCATTCTGACTGAAGTAGGGATTGTCAAGTTTTGGCTTTTTTGGACTACAAGTCCTATTAGCCCTAGTGAGTATAGCAGGTGTGAGGGATGATGGAGGGCCACACATTTGCCCACACACATGAACTCCAAATACTAAGATATTCAGCAGTTGTAGCTATTCTCATGAGGAAAGTTACAGCTCTGGTGCTTCAGTTTTCTTTGCCTCTCAAAGGAAAGACACTTTTCTGTTGGGTGGAATATGCCGTTCTCCTGACAGCTGCAATGTGTTGGGTTCTTTAATTCTAAAAGAAATAAACCTTTGGAGCCTTTAGTAGAAGTGTAAGGTAATCTCATTCCAGAACCATTGGGATTTTTTTCCTGGTAAACTGTAACCTATGTATGCTCATTTTTTAAAAGTTTTTAAAAAACCACGCCTCTAGATTCAGCCTGTGGAGTTTGTAGATACTTTGAACATCCAGCCTCATGGATAGTTTAGCTAAGTCTATGCAAGCTTAAGATCCTCACCAATTTAGCACAGACCAATGACTCCATAGGCAATCTTCACAAAAAATGAACAGATTTTGTGTTTATTTCTCTCTTATTGACATGCCAACATCCATTTAAATGTGTACATTTAAAAAGTTTCATTTAGCGAAGATGGATAGAAACAAATGACTTGGTGTAGTCTAAGGGAAACCTTGCTAAAACCATGGTAGCTAATTTTTATCTACAATATAAAATCAGTGTGTGTTATTTTGCTTGTTTATACTATGTATATTTATAATAATTGAATTATTTCGTGACTCAGGCATCAAATGATGCTTCAGAATAGAGTTGTATGTGTATATATGTTAAATCCATTCAAACAATTTTATGTATATTTTAAAAAAAATCTATAGTTTGGTGGATTGTAGACTACTAATAAATTATAATTTTCTCTGGAAGTTAGAATGTCATTGCTTGCTGTGTAAAAGAATTATAGTATTTTCCTACACTCCACCAATATTATATATATATCAAATTAAATCTAGCAATATGTGTTTGTTTTTAACTTATACTGCTCATATGGTTCTATACTTGCTGTGATGAAAACCACTACTCTAGTGGAGAGTAATTATTCAAATTCCCTTCCCAAACTTAAAAGAAATACCTTTGATTATAAGACGCCTCAATGATATCAGCTGTTTTGTGTAAGTCCATTTTTCGTACAAGCTTAGACACCTATGCAGTATAGGAATTGATATGAACGTTTTGTGCAGCCTGGTCCTGTGCATGTTTACTCGAAAGTTACTCTCACTGAGTTTGACAGAGCTTATTATTAGATCAGTATGTAGGACTGCAGCCTTATAAATAGAAGACCTTAAACAGTTTTGTCAGAAATTGATTTTTGTTGCTGCTCTAGATTTTATGATCCACTTAATTTCAAAGGCATTTGGAACTGGAAATTCAGCCCAGGATTTCCCATAGTCCTCTGTCGTAACAGGTCACTTCAGGTTTGGCGAACCAGCCTGAGTAGCTGTCTTTGTTTTCTGTTTTTCACGTCTTAGAATTTGGCATTCGGTTGAAAGTGAGCATGAGCTCTATTGCATTGACAGTACCACAAAAAGTACATTGTGTGCTTCAGAAACTGGTAGCTACCACTTGTAGGACTAAAAAATATCCGAATCCCTCCAGTCATCAGACACAATATTAAATATTTTGTGGAGATCTTTGGATTGATTTTTGCTATTCAGCTGAAGGGTCAACTTTGATTTCAAGGGTGACGAGCACCCCAAGAGTTTGTTCCAGAACCAGTGGGATACAAGTGCACCTCTACTATATGCCTTACAAACTTCAGAGGCCATATTCAAAACAGGGTTTTTATCAGTGTATGCAAGGGGATGCAACCCCTCTTCTCTTCCTCCCCAGGTCAAACAGTATGGACAGTTTTCACACATATCTACCTGTATACTCCTCTGTACCTCTCATAACTGGTCAATGACTGTAACAAGTTGCATCAGGTGTTTTTCTATATACTTTTTACACAGATTCTATGCGATTAATGTAACTTAATTCAATGCATCATTTTATTGTACTAGTTCTTAAGCTTGTCTATTTTTTTTCTAGGTGACTGTGGTTTCTTGTGATTTTTATTGTATAAATGAAATGGCTGTTGATGCTTATTCCTTGTTACTAAGAATTTTTACCTTTTTGGAAAAACAGCATTGCTATGAACTAATAAATTTAAGACTTCATTTACTCATTGTAAATACAGTATTGTGCAAAGAAGAAGAAAAAACCCTTTCCATTCATTTGAATTGATAGTGTTAACTGAAATTTGTCTAGACACCATTTCTGTTGATGAAATAAAGACATATCATTATGTATTGTAGATTAATGTCTCCTGATTCTGAATTTCTTGCTGTTGTAGTCACTTAGAAAGCAAGGAAACTAAAAATACAGGTTAGAGACAGTAATTAAGGTTAGAGTAATCTTACTCTGTAATTAAGATCCGATACTGGAGTATAGCATTGTAAGGAATCACACTTTCTCCGCAATGTAACAATGCCCACACAGGTCACACAGAAATGTCTTTCATTTCTGACATCCTAGTATCAACTACATAATATGACTTCACTTGAACATACCTTATTTTTTAGATAATTTTTAATTAATTCAGATTCCTCACTTAGCGACTTGTAGCTGAATGGGTGATCTGCCTCTACTAAAAAGTATTGCATTTGAAATGTGGGTAATTTGACTTTTCATTGGCAATTTTGCGGATGGGAGAGAGTAACCTCAGATTAGCCTTCCTGTTATACATGACCATTATCACCAGAGAGCATTTGGTGGGGAAAGGACTCTCCAGATTTCAAAGAGGTATCTAACTCCACTTGCAGGAACATTCGCCTTAAGAGTTTGGCAAGCTGTGTTAATGTAAGAAAATACTAGTGTTTGCCATCAACAAATCATGAGGTGATGTGCCAAGTTAGTTTCCCACCCATTGCCTGAGCCACTCCTAATTTAACCTTTGCTCTTCCGCACATGAAATATTAAGCACCACAAGAATCCAGGTGAAGTTCTTGCTGGAATCAGGCCTTGCTGAACAACTATAGGTTGTAGTGGCAGATTGTTGAGATCACTACCATTACACAAAACAAGCATTATGTCTGGGATACAAAATGAGAATTTTAGGCTAAATTTAGGCAGGCTATGTTAGTGATACTTTTTTTTTAGTAGTAAAGCAAGAAATTGATGACTTGGTAGTGACAGCATTGAAGTTCCACCTGCACCTTTTTAGATCAATTTTCCACATAAGAGTTTGCTCAGGCATAAACAGCTTAAGGAAACAGATGGGGCAGTGCTAATGCACTCTTGTCCTGTAAGTGGGATCTGGTGGGCAGCTGGTTGGCCACTGTGTGAACAATGCTGGACTAGATGTGCTCTTGGACTGACCCAGCACCGCTCTTCTTTAGAGGATTAGTTGTGCCCTGCTAAAACTAGAGTGAAACAGAAACCAAACTTCTGTTCTGCTTTGGTCTCATTGGGCCAAACTGTCATTGGTTAGATCCAGACTTAATTACCTGGATGGCATGACCAGGCAACCCATTACAGTTTGCCAGCCTTGTTTGTTTCCATGTGGCTTGTTCTGCTGCCCAACCCTAACACAATGGCTCAAGCATGGGTTGTTGTCCATGCACAAATGGCCCTGAGAACCCATGGCTTGTTGTTGGATTGTTCAGGGTGGCTTGTTCCCCAAGTAATGTGCAAACCTGATGTGATGGCTTCTGCATGTCTCACTAGAAAGGACTACAAACAGCAGCACTCTTCCACAGGGCCAGATAGGATTTGCCCCCACTTCCACAGGAAAAACAGAAGGAAAATGCATTTAAAGATAGAATTGCATTAAACGAATCTGTTAAATACCTGTGTGATCCAGGCTATATCACTAAAGTTGTTGACTGACTTTTTTTTCCGGCCCCTGATCCTGCTTGGGCATGGAGAAAAAGTCTGCTAACTAGAGACTCGCCGGACAATCTCTCTCTGCCGCTGTCGCTTCAGCACAACATGCTTAGCCTGATATGAGTTGCACACCCCTGTGATGGTAGTAGCTGTCTTCTCTTCATCACTCCTCTAGCCTGGCAGATTCATGTCACTGTTACAATCTGAAGCGTACTAACCTTCGTGGGTATCCCCTGTCATTTTGTGGACAGGATTTCCTTCTTTAAATCTACTTGATCGTCCTGCCCATCACCTCTGAGTGCCCCTCTGTTTAAGGCAGGGGCAGGAGAGAGAAATACCAGTAAATGAAGAATTCTCCCTGCAGCACAGCTGTTGTTTCTAGAGCCAGGCTGCCACATGCATTAATGGGGACAGGAAAGGCAGTGGGTTGAAAGCACTATTATCCAGGCCATGATGAAATCCAATCTTCCCTTAAGCAGCAAAAAACTGAATTGTGAAGCTAATCTCAGTCCCTGTCTGGACCCAGAAACCTTTTATGTGAAATAAACACAAAAAGGGGTGCATGCTTTTCATGGTTTTTTTAAAGCTTTCAGCCATCTTTATTAGCATTGAGAGGAATTGGCAAAGTAATGCTGACAGTCCATTAAAGATCATAAGATTCAGCATGTCAATGGGTCTTGAAAGGGAGACAACTGTCTATTCTAGGTTATTTCAACTTCTCTGTTAACATGCAGCACTGAACTGTCAGGTCATCACATGCTGCCTTCATCTTTGAGGCATTGATTCCTGGGATGAACAGAGATAGGAGGAGAGCCTTGAGAAAGCCATCTCACCGACCTAAACCACCCTTACAGATGTAACATGGCTTGAGGGTCCATCCACACTTTCTGCTATGTGGCAGCCCTACAAATCGAGATGTGCTTCCCTCGGTCTTCTCCCAGAAACGGGTCTGTTCTGCATCAGCTGTACACTAACCAGCTCCAGCTAGTTGGCCATGAGCAGAAATGGTGTATTTTCAAAGCAGCACTTGGATTGCAAACTGTGGCCAGGCTACACTCCAGCATGTACTGGCCTAAAGTAACAGACTCCTCTGTCCACCTTGAACTACATGCTTGCTAGGGTTTCCGAGGAGAGGGAAAAAAGTAGTTTTTGGCTTCATGTCAGCAATGGGCAGTGGGGTTTGCTGCTGTGCCTTGGCATTGCAGCTAAACTAGCCTTATTTTTTCATGATCGATGATAGTTCTAGTAGCACATTCTGAAAGAGAAAGACAGAGAGGCTGAGTTGTCTCATAGGAGAAACTAAAACATCCACATAATGTTCAAGCTCAATAAATAGCTTATCCTTTAAGGGGAGCTAGTGTCTTTGCATCAGTGCTTCATCTGAGAACCTAAGAACCACCTAGCGAGATTCAGAGAGTTTCTTTAGTCCTCAAGAGCCCGTCACAAACTTCTGAGCAACTGACAAGCAACTCTTTTCTCCTTTTGTTTCCTCCCCTGTTCCTGGAGACCAAACAGTGTCAGTGTCTAGCATTTCCTCATTTTTACTCTAGGGTAGGTGCAGGGCAAGCGAGCTGTTAGACGCAGATTAAAGGAATGTCTGCTTTGGCCCTGGTGTTCATTTTTTGCTACAGGATATGCAAGTTCCATGTTGTCAACATAACTAATTGACCAGTTGACCATGAATTTGCCAAATCCCCTTTTAATGTCACGTGAACTAAAAGCTGGCCTGGGCATTTATGCAAGCAGATTCCTGCAGTGCATCCACACATTAATTCTTCACTGAGTGATCAGTCAATTCCCTTGGTCTTTCCTGAACCTTAACTTTCACTAGATGATCATAGGTGTTGGTATCATGTGAGAAGGACCAGAGAAGCTGTACAACTAGGCTGTAGGGTCATCCATTGACCATGACAAGACTAGGAAGAGGGGCAGAACGGGGAATTCTTGAGTAGCTGGAGAGAATCAGCCCTGCTCCACTCCGTTCTCTGATCCAAAGAGTTGCCCTGCAGTTGTAGTGTCGTAGTTGCACCCTTCTGCTTAAGCCAGTCCAGCAGACTGCACTTTTAAATCACATGGCTTCTTGCAATCCATTTTGAAGAGGAAGATCTGTTGCACCAGCATTCTTGGGTTACATTGTCCATAAAAAGCAATGGGAAGTCTTACAGCTGAACAACTTAGTAAGTGTGATGCTCTTTATGCATGTTCATGTTTGAGGGGGAAAGTCCACATCTTGAAAAGGTAAGAATAGAATAGGCCTATTGTGAAAGGGCCATAGCCTGTTTAGCTCACTATTCAGTTTAGACTCATAGAATCATGGAAAAGAGGAGTTGGAAGGGGCTAAAACAGTCAAGCATGCATGATTATGTAAGACAGGGGTCCTCCAACGTTTTGACCAGGGGGCCAGTTGAAAGCGGCCGATTCTGGGTGCGGGCCAGAAAGGCGGTGCCTGGCCGTGCGTGAGGGAACAGGGCAGTGCGTGCAGGCACACGCGCTGAGGCAGGGGCAGGTGAGGCGGGGGCTGGCATGCACCACAAGGCGGGCGCACGAGGCAGCGGCTTGCTCGCTTGGAGACCGTTTTCTCCGAACAAGCAAACCGCTGCCTCTTGGGTCCAGGTGGGCGGCAGCAGGCACCCATGTGGGCACATGCGCAACGGGTCAAAATGGACTTGGTGGGCCAAGTAAATGGGCATGGCAGGCCGGATCCGGCCCCCGGGCTGCCGTTTGAGGACCCATGATGTAAGACATCCACATAACAAACAGATAGCAAGCCCAGTATTTTATACCTTGACATGCACTGCACTGGGACCCTCCTAATCCAGGGCGCTTTTCTGAACTCCTTGTTCTTTTATTAACTCAGCTATAATGTCATTACTTCAGGTGATAAGAGAATTTTAACAAGCCAGTTGTGAAGCTTCTGAAAATATCAATACCAGCTATAAGAATATATGGATCTGTATCAGTGGTGAATACCGTCTGGCCAAGCCATAGTTAAACACTTCTAAATCATATTAATCTCCACTGAAGTAAATGCTGAACCCTCTCCTATTAAAATCAATGGGATTCAAAAGCGTTTGACTGTGGCTGGATTGTGCCTCCTCTGTGTCGAACTGTTTTAAGACCCCTAGATCAAAATACAGTGGAGGGCACTGTAGTACCAGTCCAATGTGAATGAGTCAGCCACCAGCCCCAATTAACTGCTTCCAACCTACTCCACACATCAGACGTGAGAGATATACTCTGTTTCTTCGTGGTTGGTTCAGATGTGACCCTAAAGCAGAGCAACCTGGTACCTTCTGGTACCTTTCTCACCCCCAGTCAGCAGGGGCAATGATCAGGGATTATGAACATTCATCCAAAAGATCTGGAGGGCCCTGGGCGGCCTTCCCTTTTGCTAATTGACGGTTTAGTGCTACAGGAATAAGCCAAGACTGAGTTTCCTATGCTCCCCCACTCCCTTCTTCATCTAGTGCACCAAAGACTGGAAAAGTTCACTTCCGGGTTTAAACTACTCAGAGTTTCTCATTTCATCTGAACTGTAAACTCAGTATAGCTTGAACTATAGTCTATTGAAACAAGCCAGGATCAGATACTGGAGTCAGCTCTTGGCTTGTAAAACCAGTCAGATTTAGCCCTTACGGGATATACGTGAAGCTATACTTTTCAAGGAAAAGCGGGTGCTTCCAGTCTCATTCTGAATATGCTGTGGAGAGTACACAAGTTCAAGGTTGAATCAGCCAAGATGTACTATACTGGGTAATGTATAGTGTCATTAATCACATATATCATATGTAATTAATCACAGCTTATAGTTAGTTTGTGACAAAATTGCTTACAGGAGGAACACTTTTATCCACTAAACAGAAGTATGAATAGCTAAGTAAGAAATTGTTCTTTCCTTTCCCCATTCCTGCAAAATTCTTGTCCATAAGAATAATGGTGCTTGATTACTGGTTTATTTTGTTTGTATCTGAAGGTGGGGGGAACCATATTTTAAAACAAAGCCAATATATTTCAAAGATCTAGCTAGATCATTCCTAACAAGCCATTGGAGCCCAAGGCCTAGGCTAACATTATGCTAAGGAGCAATAACTCACACTAGCAGAGTATAGAAGGAAGGTCGCTTGGGTCTACTTGCCATTGACATTCTGCGTCCCATTGTGGAAGGAGGTGGTGGCGTGATAGGAGGACTACTATCATCTCTGCATTTTGCTTCTGAGCCAGAATCGTTCCGTGAGTCTGAAGTCTCTGAGTTGGTGTCCAGGTGGCTCTCTGACAATACCCTGGACAAAAAGCTGGACTTGCGGTTCTGATAAAGCCCACTGTCTGGAGAGTCACAGCGATCATCTCCTAGGCCCTTGCAGCTGATCACCCGGCTGTGCTTCCGAAGAGCAGCTTGGGGGCTCTCCATATGGCCGGGGATCATGGATGCTTTTGTGGCATGTTGAGGGTTCTTGGAATGTTCCAGTGCATACTGTTCATTCTGCCGATAGTTGTTGACGCCCTGCTGTGGAGGCTTCTGGATGTCCTCACTGCTGGAAGATGTACTCTGAGGTTGATGATCATGCCGCTGGCTGGTGAGGTTCGGGAGGTGCCTGGGAAGATGTCTGTTGTGCTGCTCATCACGTTCACTGGGATGTTCTAAATGCCTGTATGGGTGATGGAGCTGGTCCTGGTGCTGATTCGGTCTGCTTCTCTGGTTACTGCACCACTGTTGCTCCACACCGAATGGGTTCTGGTTTTGTTCAGTGGGCGCGTACGCTTCCTCAGGAGTCAGGTAAGTTGGCCGCCCCTTTTGCTGCTCTGGTATGAATTTATAACTGCCCTGGGGAGAGGAATTGGGCATCAGGCACATCTGCTGAATCACTGAGCTCTTCTTGGAGTTGGACAGGTTAGCATCCTTAGCAGCAGCTACAAGCATCTCCTTGGGTTTTTTACAAAGGGTATTTTTAATTTTCTTGATCCCCAAGTGGAGGATCTCCAAGACATTCAGAAACAAAGAAACAGCTGCAATGCCGTGCATGAAAACCATGAAGATAGTCTTCTCCGTTGGTCTGGATACAAAACAATCCACAGTGTTAGGGCAGGGAGGGCGGGTGCATTTATAAAGTGGATACATTTGAAACCCATATAAAAGATACTGACCTACCATAAAGCCCACTTCTAGGACTGATCGGGTGAGGATATGCAGTACGTAAGTCCACAACAAGGCCCCTTGCAAGGGTGCTTTGCTGACCCTTTTTTGCTCCTCTATCTTCCGCAGCTCTCGCTCTAGCCTACGGTGTTCTTCCAATATGGGCTCGATCTCTTCTAGCTGGGCCTTGAGCTGGGCTTTCTTCCGTTGCCGTTCTTTCTCAAGGGACCGAAGTTTGTAAAGTGCATGACCCATGTACACAAGAGAGGGGGAGGAGACAAAGATGACTTGCAGCACCCAGTAGCGGATGAGGGAGATGGGGAACGCTTTGTCGTAACAGATGTTGCTGCATCCCGGCTGCTCCGTGTTGCAGATGAACTCCGCTTGCTCATCGTCCCAAACATCTTCAGCAGCGACACCAAGAACCAACATTCGGAATATGAAAAGGATGGTGAGCCAGATTTTGCCCACAATAGTAGAATGGATGTGTACTTCTTCTAAGATACTGCCCAGCAGGTTCCAGTCCCCCATAGTCATGGGTTCATCTCTGAAAATAAAATATTGATGTCAGTGTTAATGGATAAATTAACATGGCATCTCCATGGCAGCAGAGTATGGAAGGAGACTTATGTAGGTTTGTTTCAAACTTCTCCCACTATATCCGGTTCAGACTAAAATTAGAGTGTTAGCAAAGGCATTCCAAAGGAAAGAACTACCTATATAAGATTCTCTCTGGTAGGTGTATGGTGGTCTGAACCACGCAGTCTAAACTGTGCTGTCTTCATGGATTTTGGATAGCACCTCCCATCAGCCAGTATTGCCAGTGGAAGTAGAGGATTCTGGCCTTAAGGATGCATGCAGTGGCAACATCAAGCTTGGACTATTGCAGTCACTTTGTGTTGCCCTTGAGACTGGCTTGGAAGCTGCAGTTACTGCTCAGTAGTTCAGTTCTCTTCTTGTATGCAGTGGATTCTTGAACTGAATGCTCTGCTTATGAAGACCTAACAACTCTCAGAGACTGCCTGCTCTCATATGGGCCACTTGGCCTATGTATGCTGAGGAGGAGGCCTTGGGTGCCATAACCCAGCCTGCTGAGGTTCATTTGGTCATGGTGCTGAAGAGCTTCTCAGCCTTCTCCATCCCACCTCCCCACTGAGATTGGACAGCCGTCTAAGGTGGAATGCTTCCACTGACAACTAAGACTACATCTTTTTGAAGAAGAATTTCCCTGATCAGTAATGCTGCTACCCCTGCTTATTTTAATGAGGTTTTATTCTTTTATCATGATAGTAATCATGGGTTGTATTTTTTTTTCCTAGAAAACTGATTTGGATTTTTTCTAAATGAATAGCAGAATAGAAATTTTCTGAATTTAATAAAGCGAATAAAGGATTGGCATTGTAGTCCAAAAACGTTTGGTGTTTATCAGGTTGGAGAAGGCTGATAGACAAAAATGCACTTTCCCTTCATATATCAGAAAGCAAGTGTTCAGCTCTGGCTGGGAATGCATTTTGTCAAACCTGATCAATAGGACTACCTAGAATTCGGGCCCTGTGCTGTCCTGAACATGCATAAAAGAAGAACTATAGACAGGAAGTTGCATCCCGGCTCCTTAGGAAACTAGCTTACTCTTCACAGAGGCTGCTTTTAGCTTCCTTCCTGGGGTCAGGGAAGCAAAGCTCCTGGGCTTGATGGAGTGAGAAAAACTGAGTAAAAATTCAGAGTCTGTTCCAGACTAATGTGTTTGTTTTAATCACTGGATGCATGATGGCACCTTTTCAGCATACATACGATTGTTACAGTTACAGCCAATGCGCTGTGAATGTGTGGAGGTCTACCTGGGTCCCTGCTCTCCTTCTTCCCTCAGCTCTTCTCAAATCTGCTCCAGAGGTGCACATTTCAGTTTTTTTGTGTAGATTTTTACTACTATCTCCTTGCCCCTCTAGGAGAGCTGAGGTGCAAAAACTTGTAATATCATGATATCTATGTGTGCAGTGGGCTGTTCTAGATATTCTGGTCAAGATATTTCTTCAAAATAATGTGCCAAGAGGACTGTGAGGTACATTGGCTAAATTGCCTGTCCTCACTTCCACTCATAACACCACTGGATTGAAGCTACTGCTGCAAATGGAAGGGCATTTTGTTTCTTTCCATCCCACCCACTTTTCCAGTGCGAATTGTAAAGAAGCAAAGAAAAAGAAAACAGCAAAGCAGCAATGCAAGTTTGCAACGACTGGGGTGGCAGGGGAGAAGCCTCTTAGTCCAACCTACCTCACAAGGTTGTTGTGGGGATAAGATTGAGAGCCATAGAAGGAGAATGATGTTAGCCACTTTGAATTCTTTAAAAAAAATAAAAAGGTGGGATACAGTTCTAATCAATAAAGAATGAAATCTAAAACATTTCATTAAATTATTTCATAATTAGAGAATAGCATCTTTTGAGACATCTGGACACCTTTAATATTGTTAACCACAAATATAATTACTTGAATGAAATATGTGGAAAATATATCCTGTAGGGACTTTTCCTAGTTTGTCCCTGCAATATTTTATTCTAAACAAAGAAAGGATGAGTGAAATTGATTATTTTCTGAAGTTTGAACTTACTGAAATGTACTGAGGTGCCAGAAATTGTCACAGGACTCACTTTTGACATAAATGTGCACTTGTGCTATTGCTAGTAAATGTTGGAAAGAAGCGGGAGATCTGGGCGTTCCCAAAGGCAGGGGGGGGGGGCTACAGGGGTGTGCATGGCATCCGCCAATCTTGGAGGTTTCTAAGCATTCAGTGCCTGCAAGGCTGTTGCAGGCAGCAGGAGCACGGAGGCGATTTTCACCCCTCTGTCCTCATGTTAAATGGTTTTCCTTCGGATGGGCCCCTGAACCCATCCAGGGGAGGTGCATGGTAGGTGGCTGGTCTGGGTGGCCATGCAATTTCTCACGTGGTCTCTTCTTGCCTCCCTACCCTCTGAAATACCTCCTTCCCTGCCTTGGAGACCACATTTTGGACCCTGAGGAGCACCCAGTGGTGCTCTCTGCCATAGCTGCCAACGAGTTGGGGGAGAGATCGGATTCTGGAGTCTCCTTCCAAGGTTGTCACAAATGTCCACAGCTTCAGAAGGGGGACTTCGAAAACTCTCCCCTTGGATTCCCTTGTATGCTGTTCTGGAATCTCAGGTTTGATCTGCATGTCCTGGAAGGCTTGTTTTGGACCTTCACAACTGATCTTCTTTTTGAGTCCTTAATGATGGAAATGGCATGCTGAAGGCACGCAGAATATCCCAACATCGAAAACTCAAAACCAGCTACCTTTTCCTATTGGGTATCTTGAAGTCTTAAGAATTACCAATAAATGTCAGGTTCTGCCATTAAAAAAACCAGATATGGATGGTTTCTACCTCCTTGACAAATTCTGTTTGTTGGACTCCGTATCTTACCAGTTGATCTTGGCTCAAGCCCACTAGCATGAGGGACAATGACAGCAGCATTTGTGCTTTGCTTGCTATAAGAAAAAAGATTGGGGCTCTCCATTTAATGCCAAGCTTCAGAGCAATCCTGTGTCTTTGTGCTCTTTCATGTCACCTGTTGCAAACTAAGAGAAGAAAGCCTGCAGGTGGTGCTGTTTGCAAAGGATGAACCAATGGCCTGAAGGGCCTAATCCAGGTTTAGGGCTTCATATATGGAGGCCCTAAACACTCAGCAGACAAATGCATACTTGTAAAATTTCATGCCCACCATGCCTGAAATCCACCTCAGAAAAAGGCTCATTGGGCTATTCTGCCAGGCTGACAAGAGTGGAGAATGACACCGGCAAACATTTTGCCACAGTCTGCTTTGATCTGAAATATTCCCCTGTGTTCAGGATACTCTGGGCATTTACAGAAGGCCAGCACAGAAGAAGGGACCTGGGCTGAGATATATCTCAGCATTTGCAGAGGGCTCCCTGGCTTTTGGAAATCTGCAGATGGAAACCTGTGACAGCTCCCCCAAACCCAAAGCTCCAGTGACTCTCACAATTACAGGGGTCAAAATGTGCCCAAGGTTTTCAGGGTTCGCTGTCCTACAGTACAATATCAAGGATATCTGTGCAGGCTGCTGGTTATAGTAAAAAGGGGGGAAAAACCTTCACAGCATACATAAAAAGACAAAAATGGGACAAAACCCAGTGTCTAAATTTCTAAATAGTAAGTTTACAAATGTGATTTTTTAAAATGATTCACTCACCTCACAAACTATCAAGGAATGGTTGCATTTGGGTGGATTAAGGGGAAAATGTGGAGGTGCATTAACATCATAATTAGCTTAACTAAAAACAAACAATGCAGGCTGATGCTCATACCGTTCCTGAAGGTAACAGGCATCAGCTGTTGTCCCTCTGCAGCATCCGCTATTCAGCTGTATGCTGCCCTCCCAGATGCCTGCTATATTTAACTAGCTGCATGGCAGCTTCCCCACAAACTCATCCAATCCCACCTAAAGTCTTCCGAGATCATGACCATCAGCCCATTTGGTTGGAGTGAACTTGGCAGCTTAACTTGAAAAGGTACCCTCTACCCCTGTAAGCTGGGCCACCTGCATCCTTGAACAAAGGACATGCATCTTCTTAACTCTCGAGGGCTGCCTTTCCCAATCACACAATTGCAACCGAATACCTGCCTCATTTTTTCCTGATGAAGGCTGCAAAAACCTGGATATATAGATATAAAATCCATTTAGATGTAAAATCCATTAAAATGAATGGACTTGGAATGTCAAGAAATTCTTTAAGAAATTTCACAACATTGTAAAAAACATTAAAATCAAAAACATTCCACCTCTCATGACTTTTCAATCGTTTCTTCCCACCACCACCATTCTAATATCTCTCCAATTTAGAAAACCACATGAAAAATATAGATAAGAATAGTATATGAATGAATGAATAAAATCCAGTACAAGCCCTTCTTTGACCATACCAATTTGTCATGACTAACAATTTCCAATCAAAGCATCTAATCTGGAAAAGATGTCTGGGTGAATCTGAACCATTATTATTACAATATGGAAAAAGTATACCAGAAATTCATAAAGACAGAATATACAAAAGCAAAATATCACCTCTGTGAAATAAGTGTGAAATAAGTTCAGATATTATGCCGTTGCTTACCTTAATGATAATTCTCTTGTTCATAAGTCTTTTGGAGGATTATAAACCGCTCTGGCCCAGAAAAGTAACATACGGCCCAGAAAGCATCCTTTCAAAACTTCTCCGCAAACACGAACACACACACACGTTCTTAGAGTAAATTCAAATATATTTTACAGTCAACATGGCGACTATAATTCATAGTTCTGTGCCTGCTAGAAATAACGAGTCCAAAGTACACTGGCAGATTTGATCGGCTAGCTGGTAACAGGACAGTGCCTCTAGCCAGAATTATCATACAATTATTCCAGCTCTGCCAAGCCATTCCCTAAGGCTTAGGGCAAACTCCCCTGCCTTGTCATGCCCCTGCTAATTTCATTCGGATCCAAATGTGTTAACCCCTTGTGCCCAGCCAGTTGGTAAATGAGTTTATTTTGCAAAATGCATGAACTGCCTCGTCGAGCACCTCTGGATTCTTATGTTTTCTTTACATTCCATTAGTTTCCATGTGAATCAATGGTCAGCAATCAATCGGTCATGTCCGATTTCATAGTCTATTGCCTAGCGGCACGGACTGCTCCGATTAATACTCAGGGGGAGGGGCTGGTTGAGACACTAGAACGGATAAAAATACTTTTGAAATGAGACAGACATCCCTGTTTGTGCTTTATTTTGCTTTAATTAATGTCATCACAATATGCGTGCTTAAACACCCTCTGCTGTGTGACACATAAGCAAAAGCAAAGGGTGCATTCCCCTCTCAGAACTAAATTCCCTCGTTTTATGCAGTTTGAAAGGTATTTACTAACGGAAAAGATACTCGTCAATGGAAAATGAGTAGGGCCATCAAAGTCATTGCTGTTAATTGAAGCAGAGTGAGAAGGCATATTATGGTCTTCAGCGAGGGCTGTTTGTGTATCTATAGCCTTAGGAACTCACCAAGCTCATCTTTGAGGGTCATAGGATTCCAGTTAAGCCTTTATTCATTTTAATACAGCAGCAGAATATTTTACGGATCTCTCTACATCTGATTGAAAGTCAATGGGGATTAGAGAGACAGAGAGAGAGAGAGAGCGAGCGAGCGAGCGAGCACAGGCCTGGAGGTAGCTGAAGCATAATTATATGGATATTTGCTTCAGGAGAGGCCCCACCTGATTTCCACAAGACTATTCCAGGGAGCGAGCTGAGATGGCAGCTTGCATGCACAAAAGTGCCTTTGAAAATGGGAAGTCTGTTACTATAATCTATCTAACATGGCTATCATGTTTATTTTGGCACGAAGTGTCCTAGACTACAGCATTCTTTATGTGATTCATGAAGAGTTATCCTCTACTGGCATGCACAGAGAGTTTTTTGTTTTTAATAAAAAATGTAAGAGACAATGGCCTGAAGCACCTGCTTCCATGGGGACCTGGGTACTTGGGCTGTGTGAGGCAGGGCTACTGATTCTGTTCAGTTTATTGCTAATTGGCCACCACATTTTTGGCTCATAAGGGGCAGGGGGTGAGGCCATGGGCCTGCTGTGCGCTTCGCTGTTTTCAGTCAGTATTGGTCAGCTGCAGCCTGCGCTGATCCCCTTTGATCCCCAGAAAGTAGCTTTAGGGTTTAGCAGAAATAGGATTGTGGCTTTTTGGGCATCCCATCCCATGCCTTGCTATTGCGAACATACAAGATACAACCAGTAAAATGTGTGATTTGCATTTTTTGTCTAGTCTCATGGCTTGTGTGGTTCCTTCAGCCTTCCTAGCATCACTCCAACCCTGAGGGCTCAAATGCAAGAGGCCCAGCAGATTGGTCACATCTTTAGGTAAAGTTCAAATGTGTAAAACAGCTTACCCAAAGCAGAACCATCCAGATTTTTTGGATTTCAGCTCCCATATTCCCTAGAAACATGGTCTATGCTCATGAAAACATCTATAGGTACCAGGCTAGGAAGACTGTAGGACAAGGTAAGGACAGCCTTATTTACTGCAGCAGTAATTGGTGACACAATCTTCCTAACCATGCTAAGTTGGGGAAAAGACACTTTACCAGCCAAGACTTGAATGAGTAAAAGCAGCTAATAAGCTCTGTTCAAGCAATTGCAGGTTGCAGATGCCCTGTAAGGCATTGGGATCTTTTTGTTGAGGTATAACCATGTTTAGGTCAACAGCAGTTTTTTTGAGGGACCAAGATGGTAGTCTGAATTTCTGGTAGAGTCTGAATTTTCAACAGTACCAACTCCATAATCAGGGTACCAAAAAAGGGTGGTGATGGCTGGTTTTGGTAGCCACCGCCCTCATTTCCTAGGGTTTGGGAAAAGATTATTCTTCAGATGATACCTGGCCCAAGCTGTTTGGGACCTCGAATACTAAAACTAGTAGTTTAAATCAGGTCTGGCTGTGGACTAGCAGCCCATATCCCTGCAGAGGGCAAAGGATAATCTCTTTTATCTATCCCTATTATCAATCTCATTGGCCTATTTTGGAGCAGTTGCAGTTCCTGGACCTTTGCAGAATAGACCCAATATAGACCCTATTATAATACACTGTACTAATCCAGGTAAGAGATTACTTGAATATGGATGATTGCAGCCAGGCTATCTGTGCCCAGATAAGGGTGTAGCTGATTTATGATAAATGGTTGTTCTGTGACAATAAAGGATCCAAGAACACTTCCAAACTACAAACCAGATCCTTCAGGTGAGTGTGACCTCCAACAAAAGTGGTTGAATATTATACTTACCTGGCAAACCAACCGCTAATCCATCTTCTCTGCACTGAGTCTCAGTTTACTGCCCCTCATTCAACCACTTTTGTGCCCAGGCACTTAGAACATCTACTGCCTCTTCTAGATATGATGAAAAGGCAGGATAGAGCTGGGTGTCCTTTACATATTGACATCTCAGCCCATAACTCCAGCTAACCAACTTCATGTAGTTGCTGAAAACCATGGAGGGGGGGCATACATGCTAGAAAAGAGCCCTGTTGCTCTTCACAGCATTCCTGCACAGCAAAGAGAAATAATCCTTCAGCACCAATTGCTGGAACCAGCCATCCAAGTAGCATTGGAAGAGCTCCACTGCAGTGCTCCCAGTACCCATCCCAGGCAACCTATCTGGATGAATACCAGGTGGGTACAGAGGGTACAGAAAGCTACTGAGGGGGTCTAAAATCAACAGCATGTTCGCCATGTCTTCCTCATGGCCTTTAACGGGGTGACTAAGGTATTTTCCATTCCTAAACCAGGCTTGAGACCCTACTAAAATGGACCTAGATAATCTATTTAATTCAAGAGTACCTGGAGGTGACCAACAACCACCCACTCACACACATTGTCCAGGAAGAGAACGTTGGCTACTGGACTACAGTTACCATCATCATCATCATCCAGGTTAGGCTTTTTTAAGAGTGGCCAAAATACCACCTCCTTAATGAGGGCAACATCACTCTCTCAAGGAAGAGGTAACAACCTCCTGGAACACCTTGCTCAAGCGCCCTATCCACAACTGAAATTTATCCAGTAAAACTGGTTCAGACAGTGCTCTGGGCAACTCTACTACTGGAACTGTGGTGGTTGAGTTAACTGTGGTACCCAATTTATGAAAGGTCTGAGCTGCTTTTATCTTCAAAATGCTATGCAAATGTGCCACAGTGTGCTACCACAGGTTCCACCATTTCTCACCTTGGCCCAGGAACTGACCAATCCATCAGCTATCTCTCCCTTAGTACCTTATCTGCACCATATAGTTAATGCTGATTATACAGAGATGTTCAAAGCATAATTGAACATTGTAAGTCACGCTATAGAGATCTACCCATGGTGCTGTACTGAGAATGAATGGGGTCCACCATGCAGCACCCACAAGAACCTGCAATAATGCGCATGAAGCTTTCCACTATCTGCCACCTCCATTTTTAAAAAATAACCTTCCCTGAAAATTGTCAGGACACCCATCTTCTTTCCTATTTCTTAATCTGCCACTGATCAGCAGCCAAGTGTTACTTCTTGATTCTATCTAACCTTCTCCCGTCAACTGTTTCCCCTGTTCTATTTCTCTATTCCCAGCCTCTAGCCTTGCTTTCCCGCCGCCCCGCTTCATCCCTTTACCTTGCTGTCTCTCTCCACTCCTATTCTAGCCTATTTGCATCCAGGATCCTGACCCTCTCCTCCTGTTAACAGATTGCTTCATCTCAGCATTATAATTCTAATTTGAATTTCTTGCCTAGCAAAGTATTAGTATGGGAGAATGTTAAAATTGGGAAATGAAGGATGAAAATGTCGTGCTTCACATTTTCAGTGGTTCCCTAAGTTCTGGAAAAAGGACAGTATGTTTGCAGCTAAGCTGGGAATCCTGATGCAGATAATTCTTCTTACATCAAGACACTTACCTGAAACAAAGCTTCATGATTTCAAAGTCAGGGAACATGCCTTAGGTGCTGGGTTTAGCACTGGAGTATTAAGACTACAGATGTATAGACTATAAGTTACAAAGCACTGCATGAGAGAAAAGTTACCAAGTGTCTTATGAAAACCCTTCAAAGTCAACTTTTAATAACATAAGTGCGTTCACTTTACAAGTTTTGGGATTTGTACTACAGTATACAGTATTTAATTTATACAAAATAAAACTTGTCTTAGTAATCAAAAATTGCAAGTAATTATTTAAACACAGTATTTTACACAATATAGACTCCTGTACAATACTTACAGAAAAGTAATATTTAAAACTTTACAATTTACACAGAAACATTCACTTACAAAGACATCCAGGTCAGAATGGAAGCAAAGAACTTTTAAGAAATGTGGTAAGTTTTCAAACTGTCACTATTTTTTTTAATATGTGTCTGCTTGGAGTTATTGCCTTCTTAAAGTTTTCGGTACTGTGCACTGCATGTTCAATGGAAACCATAACCAAAACAAAATTGCCATCCCCTCAAATGCTGTCACTTATTAGGATGAGAGTATAGATCAGTTTATCCAGGAGAATAATCTTGAAGGCACCTTTGAAATCACATATTCAGACTGCACACTTAGTATAAGTATTTTGTAGACAGCCATGATTTAAAAGGAAACCAATATTTTAAGGGAGCATGAAGTGCCAATTGTGATTTAAAAGCAAAAGTTCATGCCTTTGAAAAAAGTTCAATATAGATTTTAAACAATGTGTCACATTAAGCGGAAGGAACAACTTACAAATGCTGCTAGATTATTTGCAGAGCAAACTCTATAAATACACAAATTCTGCATGATCACTACATTTGAACACTGGGGCTTGAATAATATACTGCAAAACTTCTGTTTGCGTTCACACTTTCTGAAAGTGAGAGAAAAAGGATGTGCTGTTTCACTATGCCTTTGTTTTCTTGGGGCTACTTAAGAAGGCATGCTATGTCTTACCAATTTTCTCAAAAATTCTGTATCAACAGATATCAGCTGTTGATTTCAATTAAATGAATCACTCTCCACATAGTAGGAGCTGGCCTTCTGTTACACAAACAATGTTAACAGAATGTGATTCCAGACACTGCAGAATGTAGAGGAACAGAAAGCACCAATGACTTGTCTCAACCTTTATTTATCACTTGAATAAAAATCTATGAAAGTTTTAATGGAAGCTCAGAAACAGGAAGCTCAGGGCATAAGCCCTTTGTGCTCCATATTGTGTATTGAGTTCCACAAATCTGTTTGACATCTTCAGCAAGACCCAGTTATTAATTCAGAAAGCAGGGCTGTCTTATGAGACACATGGGTATTAAAAGGAGCAAGTAAAAGGATAAGCAACAGCTAACTCCATGTAAGCTCGCTCACTCTCGTTCAGACGTGTGCACAGTCTCTCTCACACACACTCACACACACTCATGCACACACACAAAGAGTGCATATATGCTCAGAGCAATTCAGTTCAGCATTGGCAGCAGCAGTACTGCTGCTAACTACAGTTTGACATCTTGAACAGCTTCACTAACTGCTTGAATCTTTCTTCAATCTGCAGAGGAAAAGCAAAGAGTTGTAATGCTCGAAATATAAAGCAGTCCATACTTCAGGTTTTTTCCTGATAATGAAGAACTATTTTGTACGATGAGCCAGTTATCATGACATGACAACAACCGTAAGTTAATTATCACTTGTAGTATTACAGCATGTATTGGCTACCATTTTGAATATGCAAGTCCTGGTCAGTAGCTGGCATGGCTTGTTGTGTCACATAAACCAAAGCAGCAGAGAATGCTATTTGAAGAATGGACAACACTTAACCCATGGCTTATTTTAGAGATACCTGAGGATTGTCTAACTAGCCAACAACCCCTGCTGCCTGGGTTCACATAACATGTCACATCATGGGCCTGTGGGCATTATGCAAAAATGGTGCCCATGAATGCCTGGCACAGTATGACAGCCCATGCAGGTAAATTAAACCATGGTGGGTTATCATGCCATGCAAACCTGGGCAAAGTTTCTTTCCTACACACATAAGGACAACGAACCATGTGATCAAAGCAACCTCACTAATTCTGGTAACTGGGACAGCTAGAAACCCTCCTACTATCATGGAAACTGTTACTGTCCATATGTGTGATTGTTTAAATCATGTATTATGCTTCTCCACACAGGTGTTACCCTGGGGCAGGAAAATTCTGCTGAAACAGGAAAAAAATCTGTGTAACTGGCTTTTGCATGCAAATATTTCTTCACATTGAATGGCTTAATCTGGGCACTGTAATAAGACCTTAATAAAAAACCAAAACAAACAAAACCACCAAAAACACAACACAACACATCTGTGGTCAGTTTAGAGATCGCAGAAGTGAATACAAATAGAGAAAATTTCTAACTGTATTTATGACACGTATTAAATCCATGAAGCCAGCAACCATTTAAGATTTGGGATTTATCTACTATAGTAAAGGAAACTGAGGCTTATATTTTTTTTTTACAAATTTCAAAATATATGTACTGTATAACTATTATACCACAATATATACACAGTTGGTTGTATTTAGCAAATGTGCCACATTAAGATTATACAGAGATGTATTACTTTTACTATAAATGAAACGTCCAGCTTGCTTCCCTTGCTTACCTATCATTTAGAGACCAACGTGTAGCTGGATACACCATTTTTCTGATTCATCTTTTCTATAAGAACTTTTAATCCATAAAGTGTAGTATTATGGGGTCATATTACTGCAGATATACAATGACCAGTAAGGCAAATACATAGACATATGTGAAATAGATTAAGCATACTTGCATACCCAAATACGTACCTGAGTTGGATTTTTATTTAACCTGCTAGCAACAGAAGCAAATGTTTTTCCTGAAGGTCCTTTTTTCTGACATTCCAATAAAATCTCCCTGTCATCATTTCTACAACAAACATACAAGAGTAATTTCAGTCTTGGAGTACTGCTTTGATAGCTGATGCCAAGTCATTAGATGTATGTAGACTAACACTTCAAAACAGTACTACTGTAACTGGAGTGACTTTTTAAACCCATAGGATAAAGCCTGATACTGAAGACTAACTGAAGGTTACTAGCAATTCCGCCCCCTACCAACTACATCAACAGCAGTATTTTCTCATGGCTCTTTTTGAGAATGAAGGTCACCATTCAGTGCTAAAGGTATTGCTAATACCTTAAATAAATCTATGCAATTATGAAAACAGAATGACTGCCTCTGGGGCTCGATTCTTGTTAAACCTTGTACTTCACTTTCATCCATATATATAAAATCAACATCTGTAAAACATGGTGTACGCTTATGTTTCACAACTGCATTGTACCATTGTCCATCAAAGTGATGGAAATAAAGCAAGGATTTCTATTTGGGATAAACTAGGCTATTTAGAGGTCTTCAATGTAACTTCTGTTATTCCTAGTACACTTGACAAAATGCTCAAGCATTATTCAACGCTCTTCAGAGTAAAGAAACCAACTGTGTCACTAAAAGAACAAACACACCAATAGCTACTACTTTGTCAATGTAGCATTCATTGCTGACTTCTGATCCGTTTGAGATCTAGCCTGAGAGCGTACAGGCAAGTTAAACAGAAGGCATCTATGTGTTTATACATATTTCTAGTGAATATATTCATTCTATAAACAGTTTAGATCAGATAACTTTCTTGAGCTCCTTAAGAATTCTAATTTTTCCAGTGTTACGTTTCACTGGGATAGAACTGATAGTTGAAATTAGTTCAGAAGGAAATATTTCTTAGTGAATAGTTATCAACATGGCTCGGACAACAGCAGGTGAAAGACCATCCAATGGATTTCTGTTTGCTATGTCTGAAATAGAAAAGTCATGGCCAATGAAGTGAGATCCAAGAACTTTTTTTTATCCCAGCTCAGAATCTGCACAGATTATCCTGCTGCAGGGTGTGGCACACACTCTTTAATTTCACTAATTGCCTGGTGTTCATTCTGTTATACCCTCTTCCCTTTCTCAGCTCATTACGTACCTGCACACACAACCCACCTTATCCATTAATCTGTAGGATGCAAATAACCTGATTTCCTAGCACTGACCTACAGTTTTGCAAGGAGGATGCAAGCTGTTAGAAGTTTCTAGCTCTCCTTTACAGAACTATAATTTGTAGTCTCTTAAGAAGGAAGCTATAATAAATAAGTGGTTTTCTGATAAATGGCAGGAATTATTAAAGACCAGATATTCCCATATAAACATGCCTGAATTCTGAAATGTCCCCACTTCCTCCAGACAAACTAATGGTACTGCTCCAGTTGTAAAACTTTTTCCCCTGGAGAGAAATCGCTGACATCAATCCTTTCAGTGCCAGGAAAAGACCTTTCCGTTTATCTATTACTCTTTTAGTGTTATACCCTTTTTTATTGTGATCTTCTCTGAAAGTTCTACTTCAAGCTGAAGAATGGGATATTAGATATTGCAAATAAGTGCCTTTCATTAATGACCTTTTTTGCTTTAAGATGCTATACTGCCAAATGTTGACATTTTCCACAGGGAAAAATGGGTCTTGCAGATATATAAACTACACATTACAGTAAAGGCATGGAATATCATCATTATTCAGACAGAAGTCACAATTCAAACCACCATGTGTTTAGCATGGGTTTCAGGCACCCTCCTTTTAAGTAATAGTCCCCATTTTCCTTTTTAGGAAACCTAATTTCAATGACAGAAATATAAAAAGGACCACATATTTGTTCTAGCTGATCTTGGAAAAGGGTAAGAAATTGAGCCAGCAGCTCAAGTTAGCTATCCCATGCAATCCTATGCAAGTTTACTCAGGGGAAACTTAGGTCCCACTGTGCCTAATTAAGTCTACTTCATCCTACGTGTCATTACTACTACTTGTTCCAATGGTAATGCCTATTCCACAATGTGTAGGAATACATAATTCAATGGCCTGGTCCACAGAACATGACAACCAACCATGTGGGGTTTTTAGGCCATGGTGGGTTGTC